GTCATCCTAGATCAATTTGGCATTGCTTATTTATCTGCCGGATATGGAAATTCTGTCTGCTTTCCAAACAGGTATCCAGCAAATCTTATTTTCTTTAGTGGACCAGTTGTCTTTTCTACGGTGATCAATTTTGTTGTTCTGTTAAGAGTTGTAGTACAAATTTGCCTGCTTCGTGTGGAAATGAGACATATTATCAAATCTTCATCATTCCAAGATGCAAAACTATTTTTTCGCCTTCTCCTTTTATCTGGTATCTTTTGGGTTACAGGTTTTTTATCTGGTATTTTGCAATCAGAATGGCTAGAATACATATTCATATTACTTTGTGGTCTACAAGGTTTGTTTGTTTGTGTTGCTAACATGACAACAAGACATATGTATGGTAATGTAAAAGGCAAATTCAGCAAAAAATCTTTCAGTACTAATGCAACCTCTGTAACCTAATTCGTTTTCTTCTAAAATAATTAGTGTCCATTCCATACATTTATTTACTGGTAAATAATTCATAAATGAATGATTAAATTCAATATACTTTACTATTCATAAGAGTGTTTTTGAACATTTGTACCTGACTTGTACAATGTACATGCTTAGAAATAATGTAGAGCTCAACCAATACGAGATTTCACCAATAAGTGTATTTTGTGTGTATCTATTCACTGGCAAGTTAAAAATTTTGGGCCACACTTGAGCTCCTAATTAATTACACAAAATGTAAGCCAAAATGTTCTTAAAATTAGTGATTTTTTTGCAAAATCTGAAAAATATCCCTTATGACGACATTCTAATTGTGTCATCAAGACTTGGATACCTTTTATTGATAAGTCATTATCCAAATAGGTATCTAAATTGATTTGGGGTCTGCATGATTTCAATAAATATCTCCATTGTTGAATAGGTGTTTACTTTATTTCATTAGGTATCAGCATTGTTCACAAAAAATGGTGTTGGTTTTATCCCAAAGGTATTTGTAATGTTGAATAGGTGTTTACTTCATTCCAAATAGGTATTTGCATTGTTGATATGCTGTATGCTGTATTCCAGTAGGTATCTGCATTGTTGATTTGGTGTGTGCTGTATTCCTATAGGTGTCTGCATTGTTGATATGGTGTTTGCTGTATTCCAGTAGGTGTCTGCATTGTTGATATGGTGTTTGCTGTATTCCAGTAGGTGGCTGCATTGTTGATTTGGTGTTTGCTGTATTCCAGTAGGTGTCTGCATTGTTGATTTGGTGTTTGCTGTATTCCAGTAGGTGTCTGCATTGTTGATTTGGTGTTTGCTGTATTCCTATAGGTGTCTGCATTGTTGATTTGGTGTTTGCTGTATTCCTATAGGTGTCTGCATTGTTGAATTGGTGTTTGCTGTATTCCAATAAGTATCTGCATTGTTGATTTGGTGATTGCTGTATTCCTATAGGTATCTACATTGTTGATTTGGTGTTTGCTGTATTCCTATAGGTGTCTCCATTGTTCATATGGTGTTTGCTGTATTCCAATAAGTATCTGCATTGTTGATTTGGTGTTTGCTGTATTCCTATAGGTGTCTGCATTGTTGAATTGGTGTTTGCTGTATTCCAATAAGTTTTTGCATTGTTGATATGGTGTTTGCTGTATTCCAATAGGTATCTACATTGTTGATTTGGTGTTTGTTCCATTCCAATAGGTATCTGCATTGTTGATTTGGTGTTTGTTGTATTCCAATAGGTATCTGCATTGTCAATTTGTTGTTTGTTGTATTCCAATAGGTATCTGCATTGTTGAATGGGTGTTTGTTGTATTCCTATAGGTATCTACATTGTTGATTTGGTGTTTGTTCCATTCCAATATGTATCTACATTGTTGGTGTTTGCTGTATTCCAATAGGTATTTATATTGTTTAACTGGTGATTGTTGTATTCCAATAGGTATCAGTATTGTTGATTTGGTATTTGTTGAATAGCAATAGGTATCTACATTGTTGATATTGTGTTTAAAGTATTCCAATAATATATCTACAGTGTCTAATCGGTGTCTGATTTATTCCTATAAGTATCTGCATTGTTTTAACTGTTGGCTGCTTAACTTTAGTTCCTTCATAACTGAATATGTATTTAATAATTTTAAGCCCCACCTAGTGGCATTATGTTTTTTCGGTCTGTGCGTCCGTTCGTCTGTCGGTTCATCCCTCAGTCCATCTGTCCCGCTTTAAGTTAAAGTTTTTGGTCAAGGAAGTTTTTGATGAAGTTGAAGTCCATTCAACTTGAAACTTAGTACACATGTTCCCTATGATATGATCTTTCTAATTTTGATGCCAAATTAAGAGTTTTGACCCCAATTTCACGGTCCACTGAACATAGAAAATGATAGTGTGAGTGGGGCATCCGTGTTCTATAACGTGAGGGTACCCAAATTGCACCTATTTTGACAGTTTTTTAGCGTACATTTTTTCATGATCCAGACAAAAGTTACCATTCTGTGATTATTTTGTAGATGTATCCTTTTTCACTATGTTGTTACACAAATTTAATTTTGAATCCAGATTGAATCATAGAAAAATGTGTTTGAACCGACCTCCAAACGATCCATGATTCTGTAATGAGGAGTACCCAAATTGCATCCATGCTTAAATTCACATCACTAAAAATCGAATAACAGATGTTTTGATTTATTTCTTCAAGTATTTAGAACAATTTGACATTAGTCCATGCTTACTATTCATTTCTTAAGAAATGCTTGCATGTAACATATTTTATTTGCTCATTTTTAAAAGATGACTTTTTGTAAACGTCAAATCATAAACATACAAATTATTTAGTCTCAAAGAAAACTTGTAAGATTTTTGCAGCTATTTTTGTTGAATAGGTGCAATTTGGGTACTGTGACGTTAGACACATTCTTGTTTTTGTATATTATAATTGTAATCAAAATATTGTCTGAAAATCATCATGTTTGAATGTTATGGAAACTTTTTGTAAATTAATAAAGTTGATTTTGTCGTAATCATAATTTCTTTTTTATATTACCAGTAACCACTCCATGGTAAGACCCCTGTTGATAAATGCCATTGAAGTATAACAACTGTAATTGTTTATGTCAGAAAATACTGTACATACATAATTTTAATTCTTTATTTATTTACATACGTATAGATTATATTTTTCAATCATTGTGGATTTTTTTAACTCAAGAGTTTTTTTGTAATGACAAAGAAAATTCATTCCAAAACAAAAAGAAGTATTCTGGAATAATTTGTTTGTATTTAATGAAATAAAACGATCAAATCTGTTTCTAAATAAAAATACATTTTTGTACCAATGTTCAGCTTTTAGGTTCTGATATGTTAAAAGTTATTTACATATTGGAAAAGAAGGGATATAGTGTTTCAATTCATGAGAAATGAATGAAGAATGTGTCCATGGGGCACAGATGCCCCTGCTTAAAAATATACGGCAAATTCTGCAATTTTTCAACAAAGGGACATAATTCAAGAACAGTAAAAGTGACGCCACCCAAATTTTAACTTGATCTGTGTTTGGTGGTAATAAGCATTGTGTATATGTTTGATAACATTTGGTTGAGGCAAATTAAAGTTAGAATGCGGAAACAGCAAATTTAGCAATTTTTCCATTTATAAAGGGCCATAACTCGAGAACCACGGTGAAAGTAAAGCCACCCAAATTCAAACTTGTTCTGTGTTTGGTGTTAAGGTGGTAATAAGCATTGTGTATAAGTTTTATAACATTTGGTTGCGGTAAACTTAAGTTGGAGAATGGAAATTAATTTTGGGATGAACAAGGGTAAAACTAAATGCCCCCTCCACAACAGCGGGGGCATTAAAATGTTTATTGAAGACAACAGTTAATGACAATTAACCATGAGATTATAATTTTTTGTGAAAACTTTACCGAGCTGAGCTTGAAGATAAATCTATACAGTACTTAAATACAAGGCATATCCTTAGTAAAACAAATTTTAGATGGTATTGCATGGCAATACATAGTTCCGTACCGGTTAAAAATTCATTGTATTAATGATTCTTGGTTAAACTATATAACAAATATCAAATCAATATCTTCCAAGCATGACTTAAAAAAAAGTGTTGAAAACTGATTATTTGCATGAATTTTCTAAGTCAGAGGACCCTAACTTTGCAAAAAAAATCATCTGAACCATACAAAATTCAAACTTGATCTGTATCTTGTCATGGTTAAACTATATAACAATTATCAAACCAATATCTTCAAGCATGACAAAAAATGTCTGGTAAAACTGATTATTTGTGTGATTTTTTTAAGTCCAAGGACCATAACTCTGCAAAAAAATCATCAGAACCAAACAAAATTCAAACTTGATCTGTAACTTGTCATGATAAAACTATAAATCAAATATCAAATCAATATCTTCAAGCATGACAAATAAAATAGTGCAGAAAACTTATCACTTGAATGAATTTGATAAGTCCAAGGACCATAACTCTGTACAAAATCATTGGAACCAAATAAAATTCAAACTTGATCTGTAACTGGTCATGATGAAACTATAAATCAAATATCAAATCAATATCTTCAAGCACGAAGAAAAAAAGTGTGGAAACCTGATTTGCAAGACTGACAAAAGGTCAGACAGAGACAGATTACAAACCTAAAGTCCCCTTCGGTTTGGCCATGTAGGGGACTAATAAATATTAACTATGTAATGCAATGTTTTGTATCAATTCTGACAACAAAACATAATCAAATTTTTTTGTAGAAAAGGATGAAAAATATGAATTCTGCACACTGAAACTGGTGATAAGTTATCAATGTTTGATATAGTATGACTATAAAATTGGACCACACTTGACAGTAAAGGAACTGTAAACTTTGGTATTCTCAGATCCAATTATAAGACATATTTTAGTCCACCAGCATGAACTCTTACTAGCATGACTGCCATTTCATTCACATAGAAACCTTCTGACCATATGACCAGACTATTTTGTTTTTTAAAAGTTCTCTGATGTAACTATACTAAAATACTTACTTAAGTTCTGGAACTGGCGACTTAACAGGAGGCTTATAGTGTGCTGCATCTAACTGTTTCAACAAATAACGATTTGACTCCAGTAAACTCTGAAAAAGTGCAATGTTTTCTTCATTAGATCAAAAATTAACCCAGTAAATTATTGAATAATTTCAAATTAAAGAAATTCAATGGCTTCCAACAGGTTATATTGCTCAACTTGAAGATAGCATAGGCTTTATGCTAACATCTCATTTATTAATATGTATTGCAAGAAGGAAAGAGTCATTGAATCAAATTTTGAAAAGAGGCTATCTCTACTACAACATGGTTCTCTCCAGTTTCTTCCATCAATAAAAACTGACCTCCATGAAATAGCCAATAGTACTGAAAGTGGTGTTAAACACCAATCAATCAATGTAATATAACTTTCTCTATAAATATTTTTTGAAATCAGTAGGATCAACAACAGTTTTTAAACAACTTATTTTGTTGTCAGTTTGTGATAAGAGCTGGTGGAAAGTGGTTATTAAAATACATTTATGTTAGAGGACAAAGACTGTTTCATCACAATATCCCAACCTGCTCAATTACTCCAATGAATCAAAGTGCTTATGAGCACTGAGTGAGTAAACAAAAAAATTGGCAATTTTTTTAATTGGTGTTATCTACCTTTATCTATAATTGATGTTAGAACAGATGTTGCTTTAATAAGCAGGGTTTCCTCAGGATCAATTTTCATTTTCTCCACCTCTTTTGCAAAAACAATATTTTTTTTGCAAGTTTCATTTTTTTTTTTGCCAACAAATATATTTTTATTTAGAATCTTACATCTCAGTCAGATTTAGGGGGGATTTTTTTAATATAATTCTACATATCTACTTACACTCAATTAGAAAAATTTCTTGTTTACTTTTTTAAAGATACTGTAAAATTGCATTACAAATCATGAAATCATCATATTTGACTTGTGGGAGCATAGGACTCATATTCAATCAGTTTATCAGATACCTCCTGGCTAGTTAAAAAACAAAGAAAAAAATCAAAGTTTTTTCTTAATTTTGAATGTTTTGTTCTCCAAAATAAGAGTTTTATTTTATGGACCATTGTAAAAAGTAAAACTATGCTTAAAACAGGTGCTCTGCTTTTACGAATATTGAGTACCCACTTCAAAACAATTATTTTTTATCAAAGTTGTTAAAACAATCCTTTAGATGACATGTGACGCCATTTTACCACACAATTTCATTTTAAATAATACAATTAACACATTTATGATTTAATTCATTTTTTTCGATAGCTAGCTTATGCAATCATCTAATTATTGATTTTCTGTCAAAATCTTAATGCTTGATTAGTTCAAGGTCAAATCAGAGTATTGTCTGACCAGGGAAAAAGTCTGAGAAACTGAAAAAATAAACAAGATGGACGACGTCGAACCGTTATATTTTTTTTGCCAGTAAAGATTTTTAATCCCCACAATTTTATTTTTTTTGCAAAATGTGAAAATGATGAACACCAGCCCTGAATAAGTAATTTATGATAACACCACATTTTGCTGCTTGAATATCTGAGTATTTATTATAAGTTAATAGATTGATACAGGCATGGATAGGATCTAAAGAATGTTCCCCTCACTGCACTGTAAGGAAAGGTAAATATGATGCCTGGGATATAGCTAAATACAGTTGTCAAGCCAGTGACAATAAAAGTGCAGTATAACTTCATCTTTACGCATTATATTCTATATGGAAAATTCAGAAACTTTGAAATGTTTTTATCATTGCGAAAAATAGGACAAACGGCATTGCATTAAGTAGAACTCTTAATCTTGGAAACTTGTATTCAGCATTTTTTAATTGCATTAATAAATCTCACATTTTAGTATATTGATTAACAATCACAGTAAAAACTGAATCAAATAACTCCTATCATTACAGTTAATTAGCCGTTTCAGAATCAAAAGGACTATGGGTAATTTAATTGTTTGTACTCCCAAAGTATAAGTAACGTGACCTCATTAGTTGAATTTACATTGTTGGGATGTTTTTAGCCAATCACATCGTTTTGTTTGTTACTTTTAAAAATATTACCAAATATGCTTTAGATTCTAAAACAGCAAATTCAAAGTGTAGAAAATGAAAATGATTGGATGGTATAAATAATTTGTGTAAGGAACTGTAAAACTCACTGGTGTATTGAGTATAGATCTCTGTAACTGTATCATTCTCCTATCTCTTTCTAATCTAGTTTTACTCTGAAATCAAATAAATACAAAATAAACACAAAATTATATAATATTAATTTTCTAAAAGGTTTTCAACTTAATTCATTGAAGTAAGGCGAGAGATTAGCTTGAAATTGTAAACCCATATAAATAATCCTCTGGGTGTCCTTTTTTGTGTGTGTTAATGGGTTGCTGTCTGTATGTTGTATACCTCACATCCCCTTTTATTCCTATTTGAATACTTTATGCACTTTAATAGTATGCATTGGATTTTTTTCGTGTTTATTCAATTGAAAAAATTTGTAAGGGTTCCGCGGAACCCAGTGTCTCGCCTACTTTTGGTGTTAATCGCAGGCTCAACAAAAATGAGGAAAAAAATTAATAAAAATATTCCCCTCTATACTATGTTTTGATTGTAAGTAGCTTCTGTCCAAGTTTGGTAAAAATCCAGGATAATTTATGAATCTAATAAATGTTTTAAAAACTTAAACTGCAGAATGTATGTAATGTTGACTGGAAGAAAAACTAAGTCCATTTATAAGTAAAATACGGAAAAAATGGAACAAAATTTTATCAAAATTTCCTTCTAGATACTAGTTTTTGATCATAAACAAGCTTCTTTCCAAGTTTGGTAGAAATCCAGGATAGTTTAAGAAAGTTATTAAAATTTCAAAAACTTTAACCACAGAGTGAATGTAATGTTTCCTGGCAGAAAAACTAAGTCCATTTATAAGTAAAATACGGAAAAATGGAATTTTTTTTTAACAAAATTTACTTCTGGATACTATCTTATGATCATAAACAAGCTTCTTTCCAAGTTTGGTATAAATCCAGGATAGTTTAAGAAAGTTATTAAAATTTCAAAAACTTTAACCACAGAGTGAATGTAATGTTTCCTGGCAGAAAAACTAAGTCCATTTATAAGTAAAATACGGAAAAATGGAATTTTTTTTTATACAAAATTTACATCTGGATACTATCTTACGATCATAAACAAGCTTCTTTCCAAGTTTGGTAGAAATCCAGGATAGTTTAAGAAAGTTATTAAAATTTTAAAAACTTTAATCACAGAGTGAATGTAATGTTAACTGGCAGAAAAACTAAGTCCACTTATAAGTAAAATACGGAAAAAATGGAATTTTTTTTTTACAAAATTTACTTTTGAATATAATCTTATGATCATAAACAAGCTTCTGTCCAAGTTTGGTAGAAATCCAGGATAGTTTAAGAAAGTTATTAAAATTTCAAAAACTTTAACCACAGAGTGAATATTTGTGGACGCCGCCGACGACGACGCCGACGGAATGTAGGATCGCTATGTCTCGCTTTTTCGACAAAAGTCGAAGGCTCGACAAAAAATCATGATTGTTCAGTATTTCTTCTTTAGTAAGTTTCCGGGTGAATTAATTGTCAATACCTTATTCTCTTAACATGTACTTTATATAATTTGATTTACACACACACTATGTTGCTTAGGGCTTTACTGCCTTTGGCAACAAGTATTGTCATAATAAAATAATAGTAGCTTATGAATACCTTTTTAAAATATACCATGCATTAATTTGTGAAAGATGTGTGTTATTAGGTTTTTAAGATTTTAACTACAAAATCTAAAACAAGAGGCTGTAAGATTGACAGCAAACCATATCTTCTTGCATGAAAATAATATTTGCAAATCTAGATCTAACAAACAGGATCAAGTTAAAAAAAAAATAATAATTTTTGTAGGGTTCAGAAATGGAAAGGCCAAAATCAATCTTGACCTCCAATTTATCATTAGTGACATAATATTGGAATTTAAGAGAGTACAAAGTACACACACATTTGTTCACCAGGGGTGGGTAAGCAGAAATCATGAAGTCAATAATGAAAGAAATATGTTTATGAGATTACAATCTTATTTAATATGAAACCAAAGAATCTTGTGCTCACTCCAATAACTTTCCAGAAACCTATTTTCAAACGGTTGTTGTCTTGTTTCTTCAAAGTATCACAAGATTTTCAACTAAGCCTTTTCAAGTTATAGCATGGACAACGCCCTAAGTATCACCTTTTCCCTACGTAAATGTCTATAACTCATAAACAATATAAGCAAAAGTTGTGAAATTCGAACTCGACCTTCTATTAGTCACAGGAAACAACATGTCTAAATTTTAAAAGATTTTGTCAAAGCGTTTTCAAGTAATTGCACGGACAACACTCTAAGTATCACTTTTCAATACTTTAATAATGGTCTACAATTCAACACTGATAAAAGCTAAAATCATGAAAATCGAAATTGAATTTTCGTGGATTGAGGAAACATCCTATTTTCAAGGTTTTACCAAAGTCTGTATACAAGCCTAGAGAAGTAAGCACTTCCTTGAACATTTAAATTCATGGTTCATCTATACCCACGAAATCCAAGAAAATAAGTATGATATCCTACAAATAATAGTATTTCTTTGATTGACACATTGGTTCTTAATGGTTAGTGTAATCAGATAGTTTCTATTTTGTTATTCTCATTATCAGTTTCCTTCATAATAGTTTGTATGCAAAAAAAAAAAAAATGCAATTTACATTAATAATAATATCAAAATTACCTCTTGTATATGTTTGTTGAGAGTTTTGAGATACTGTATAGAATTGGCAAGATCAGCCCTATCCTGGTGACCCTTAGGTGTATGACATTCAAACCAGCTTAACAAAGTCACATACTCCTGTATACGTCTCCCTGGTAACAGCAGCAATTCTTGAAGTCTACAATAAATATCAGAATTAGACATAAAGACTCAACAATTCTTTTAGCATATCAAACAAGGATATTTTGGACTACTGCTGGAATACAATAATACATATAACTAGATTTGTAATTGCTAGCAATAATGAATGGCACCCTCGTCCCCCAATTGCCAGGGTAATGGCAGCCATTTTGAAAATTCCAAAGTCAAACAGAGCATCTACACTTGCCAATTAGCATTGTTGTAAAGTTTCATAAAGTTTGAAGCATCTCATAATTTTGGACATTTTTGCTGTTTCCATGGTAACGGTGGCTATTTTGGAAATTCCAAAGTCAAATTGAACATCTGCATATGCCAATTAATATTTGTGTGAAATTTTGTTTACTTTGGAACAATCTTGCTATTTCCATAGCAACAGTAGCCATCTTAGAAATGCCATACCCCGATTGCAAATCTACACATGCTGGTTAACATTATTGTATAGTTCCATGAACATTGGTTCATACAATTCAGAGATATTAGCTGGACAAAAAAAGTGGCAGAAAAATAATAAGAAGACGAAAAAGAAATTAAAATAACAATATGTCACCCCAACTCTGTTGAGGGTGTCATAATTATCTAGTCAGTTGTGGGTGTAGAAGGGAAAGCTCAACCTTCATCACATTCATTCTCAACCTTGTACAATGCATTTAAAGTCTGCATATGTTGAATTTAGCAGCAATATTCCTACCACAAACATAGCAAAAATTAGACAAATTCAAAAATTTCACAACATACAGTATCTCATTATCAAGTGCTGTATGCAGTCTATACCAGAGTCTGAGATATGTTTTAATTTGGGGTTGAATGTTTGTATATAAAAGCGTTTCTGAAATACATCAGATTTGGCAGAATATATATGAATTTTATTTTAACACATGCAGGCATCTTTCAACAGGTGTTTTTTACATTTTTATACTTCATCTTGGAGAAGTGAACAATAAATTCTTTAGATCTTTATAGTTATCATCAAAGCAAGAAAATGTGAGTCACATAATGAGATTTCTAAGATTTGAAGTTTAAAATCTTTTAAAGCACTATTTTCAGCTTTAAAGAGTGGGTGTAGAAAACAACTTTTTTATGCATAAAATTTCAAGTGATGAATTCTTCAGGCTATCTTTCTTAACTTACAACCACCCATCAAATTTAAAAAGAAGTACCTTCTAACTGCATGCATTTTACTCTGGAATTAAGAACAAATGGAAATGTGGATTAAACAAAAACAAGGCAGCAACCAAAAAAAATAACTTCACCAAAACATAACATCTGGAGGTGGCTATACACTCCAACTGTTTTTAACAACGTTTTGATACATATCAGGCTGTACATACTCTACTTATGTACATACTCTACTTACGTCATCATTTTGAGTTCAGGGATACGTTCATTATGTTTAAGGAAAGCTCTAAATGATGGCATGGTTTCTTTGGTTCTCTCTATGCACTGTAAAATCACATCGTAGTTGTTGACAAAGTTTGTATATAGTTTTAAATGAGTACAAAATTTGACAAAGATGTCTCCTAGACAGGAATTCATTGGATCCCAATCACCTGTACGGTTCTTCAAATTTTCCACTAGTTCTCTACAAAACAAAACGTTTTTATTAATAATGAAACGAATGTCTAAAACATGAATGTTTAGAATTTTAGGACTTATAATTGCTTGAAGATTTCTATTACTGTAAATTCAGTTATTATCGTGTGCATTTATTATTACTATTGTTGGACAATCAACACAAATGTGACTTGAATTATTGTGATTTTAGGAAATGTTGCAAACAAATAATGCTATCAAAATTTTAAATGTGAATTTATATTTTTTTCTGCCACTTTCTCAGGACAGGATTTGTTCTATTTAGACTTTTTTTTGTTTTACAAAGGTTAAAGTATCAAAGATACTATATGTCCTGATATACGAAGTTAATCTATTGTCTATAAATATTTTTTCCACTTCATGGGATAGTGTGTTGCTAAAATAGAAGGCACTTAAGCCTAAGCTGTGAACCTCAATATTTGGATCTTTACTGTTGGCACAGCATTACAAATAGTTCTGTAACACTTGATAGCAACATTATGCTACAATGCATGTTTGCTCTATCCATTTGGAATCATGCACAGGTCCAAAACCAGATAAGTACATGTTTACATGTGGTTCTACTACTGAAGATTTTGTCAATTTTCACCAAAATCTTTATTTTTGGCCTATTTCAAGTGAAAATGTCAACATATTTATGTTCTTGACTTTTATTAAACTTTCTAGTTTTTTTATGCATCGACTGTAATCATTTCTAATCTTGGAATAAAGGATTTAATATTTGAGGCCAAATACAGCCCTTACCACACCAACTCCTTTGTATACATATTGACATTTTAGTTTAATCAACTGATTCAATAATGTTTCAGTGGTTTGAAGAATACAGCTGACATTTACCTAGGCATGTTATTAATTTTGAAGTTAAATCCTGGTCTTTTCAGCAATTGTGGACACATACTAACTTTTAAATTATGTCAAACTTAATGCACACTTGGTCGTGCTAAGCATACCCACTTTTATTTCAAGGTATCTTAATCAGATGGTAGGTGTCTGATATTTTCAAAAGTGCTCAATTGTTACCACTCATCACTGTTTAGCTGTTAACTAAATATTAAGTAATTCTGTTCTGACAGTAGTATTGGAGAAATTTATGACGAAATTTTTTTTAAGTTCATTCAACATATTGAAAAGTTCTAAGTATCTGTAGTTCAACATATTGAAAACTTCAAAGTATTTGTAGACAGGAAGAAGGTGTCAGGCAGATCCAAAAAGTGCTCACACATTACAACTCATTACTGCCAAACTGTTGACTAAATATGATGGCAATTTTCAATATTAGTTGCTGAGAAAAATATGATGCAAATATGTGTTGGAAGAACTGATTGAGAGACAAGATGAATGCAATCTAGCCCCAACTCCTAGAGTGGGCATCATATACTGACTTACTTGCTAATATCACAAATCATCATTAAGTCTGTGAAAATTATCTGTACATTCTGGTAACTGGCAATAGCTCTGTAAATAAAAAAAAAAAAGAGAATGAGGAAAATATCATAACCTGTCCTTTACTAAAAAAAAAATGAATCATAAGCTTGGATCTATTAAAATATCTTAGTCTGAATAAGATAGACAGCAAAATACAACACAGTGTGTTTACAGATTGGTTTTTCTTGAAATATGAATGAAATACAATTTTTTTTTTAATAGCAGCATAAATTTCATATTAATATGTTACATTTCTGAAGCAAACTTTTAGCTCACCGAATTAAAGAGAAATGACTGTAATTGGAAAAAGTATACAACCTGGAACTACTTTGTGTACAAAAATGTATTAAAAGCAGCAAAATCTACAGAAGGATAGACATAAAAACATACCATAATATAAGTTTCAGCCCTATGTCTATTTATTGCTACAAAAGCCATGATGATTGCTTGACAAAATTCAAATTTTAAAGTTATAATGTATCAGGTGGTCTGGTCCTTACAAGCCCAGCGGTTGTTTTTGTCATTGTTTTTTTTTTTAGGGAAGTGAGCTGGAAAAGTGAAAAAAGCAGCTTTTCAGATATCCAAGGAAACATACAATAGTAAAAACCAACCTGTTAGAGTTGAGTGAAGTTTTGAGAGGTCTGACATAGATATGTTTAATACCCTTCAATATTCTGTAGTACTCTACTTCACTGGAGGTTATCTCCAAAGCTATAGGTGTTCTCTTTTCTGGTTGTTCACTGTACTTCTCTGATGTCTGAAATAATCAAAATCACACTATTAAAAATGCATTTATCACTTTAAAAGAAATAAACTTCTGTACAGTTTAAAAAGACTTTAGCATCTTTTACTCAAATATAGGCAAACATGATGTTTTCCACCTTTCTTGTTGAATTTATCAATATCTTGTCTAGACTTTGGGTGATTCAAAGCTTAACAGTGTACGACTAGTCCATCATTGAAAACTATATATGTGACTTCTTGATGTTCATTTTTTTAATGCTTGATGATGGGTTCAAATTGATGTCTTTTAAAACTACATTTACACCATACCTCATCCATAATCATTTGGGTTTATGCGTGTGGATCAAGAGATATAACAGCAACAGAAAAACAAAGATCAGCAGTTTAAAGGGAAAGATTTTGCCATACAACAGGTCACCTAAGAGAACTCATCTGATAATTCTGGTTCAGTTTCTTTTAATATACAAAAGGTTTTCCAAACACTCGCCTTAGGTTTTATGTCCCAACTTAAAACGCCCTGAATAAAAGATGGGGGTATAAGCAATTGAGACAGCAACCCAATCAATCAAATAACAAGAAGCCATTATACAGATCAATACATGATCTTCCACACTATACAACTGTCTATCCAAGATCCTAATTGAATAACTACTGTCTATACAATAATTGGTCAATCTCTCAATTGTCCAGAGTCTAAAAGCTACAGTAGTAGCAGGGTTTGAAATTAGCAGGGGCCCACTCACCAATGGCCCCTAAAATTTGGTGTCAGCTAATAAAATGTTTGCTTTTCTTGTATAGAACTGTATGTATTGGGTACAAAATTTAAGATGTGGGCTACTATGCCAAAATTTTAACTTCAATCCCTGAGTAGAAGTTGCATATATCAAACAGCCAAAAACATACCTCCTCAACATGTCTTATTGCCACAAAGAAGAAGCAAAAACTTTTGTTGCTAGGGTAGAACATTGGTGCAGAAAATGTCATTTCATAGTTCAAATAGTTATTCAGATACTTATTTCTAAAACTGAATAAATTTCCTGGTGTAGTATAGGCTCTTCACCATCTATAAATAACATTATCAAGTAGATTTTAACATTTCCAATTATTTTAAATGTTTAACAACATGATAGTAAGCAAGACTATGTTTCTATATGACACCATGCCCCACTCCCACTATCACATTGCCATGTTTAGCCAACCATGAAATATGGGTCAAATCCCCAATTTGGCATATATATATATTAAACAGATCACTTCATAATAAACATGTGCTACATTTCATGTTGATGTGACCACAAATGACCATAAACAAAAACTTTAATCTGTCTTAAACCCAAAATTCAACAGACAGGCTAACAGACTTACAGACCAGAAAACAAATCCCCTCTATAATAATTTATTAAAGGTGGGGCATACAAAGACTCTTACCAGTCGTTGATATCTGCCAGGTGCAATTGTCATGCTACCAAATGTAACTCTCAGATTTTCTGTTTGTCTTATCATCTTCTTTTTCTTTTCTCTCCTCTGTCTTCTTTGAACATCTTTCTCACTTCTTTCTGTTTGTGCCTTTTCAGATACTGGAGAATCGGCTGAACATTAAAACAAATATTTCTTTATCACTATTTCAAGAATACATATGAAGTAACCTACTTGACAATAAGTATGCAATTTGCAGACTTAAACAAAATTGTCATATCATAACAAATATATTACAAGATCTTACCTACAAGTCTGGTAATTTATCTTACAGAAATAAAATGAAAATAAAATATTATAAGACATATCAAGTTCAGTTCATCCAATGTCATGCTATTCCCATTAACCAGTTTGTGTTCTAATTCCCTTAATAGTGGACTACCATGAAAGATCTGTTTGAAGTTCAATTTCTTCCTTCCATGTTTGTGGAGTTGGTATAATGAAAGAAGTTTTATTTCAACATAACTACTTTCTATCTTAGATTCACCAATTACATGTACTTTTAACAGGCTATAACTGTATTAGTATTTGAAATAATGAAATTTAAAGTGGCATTTAAAACCAATACCTAATCCAAGTAGGAGACTTCTAGGGAGGTTTCAACTATATGAGTATTCATATTGGAGAAGTTGGAAGTGACATTTATAACCAACACACAAACTTAGAAGCTTCATTTTACACTTTCCTTACAAAAACCACATATTACTTATGTCTTTTCATGACCAATCTCCTTTGTATGTATGCGGACTCAGAATGCACAAGGACAGGTGTAGTATTCATACTGGTGAGGTACAAAATGTATTTGTGTGAGGAACAGGGGTGTAGAGAAAGACTTTTCCTTGACAAGACATTAAATCCAATTAGGATGTTATCAGGCTTTGCAATGATCTGTCAGTTTTCATTCATGCTTTATTATTCAATATGTCCTAAATTTTTATGATTCTTTCATCTGGTCCTCCTGAAAAACCATTCATACTTAGGCTAAATCAAATATCTTTTTTAGATTCTGATTCTCACCTCATTACTGTCCTTTCTTCAATTTCTTATTCTCTTTTACATTTATATTTATGTATTTAGAAATAAAATGTATTCTGTATGTGTTTTCCTTATTGTTGTATGCCATACAAGTGTATCCTCTTCCTTTGGTCTCTGGTGGATAATTATAACAGAGGCAATCATACCGTATTTCCTTATTTATATAGCTTTATTGAAGATATTCTTAAAAATCAAATATTAAATCCTCCCGCCCTATGATTGTGTAAAAAAAGGAATTTATAATAAATTTCCTTCTGCCTTACGTGGTCTCATGGTCTCTCCCTCCACAATAGAATCTCTGAAATCCTTGTCATCTTTGTATTCATTCCTACGTGGTTTCATGGTCTCCCCTTCCTCAACAGTATCTCTGTAATCTTCATCATCTTTGTGTTCCTTCTCAGCATGACCATTAATTTTCTCCACCTCCTCATCAGGGGTGGGGCCTCTATCTTCTTCATCCTCCTCTTCTGATTCATCATAATCATCATGTGACACCTGTTGATCAAAGTTCAACATTCAAATATTTGCTTCTAACTACCAATTAAAATAATGTGCAGCTTGAATTAGGAAAAACTGCTATTGGGTAAATGTTCATGAGATGAACATGTATACCTTTAATACAAATCAATGGACCAAATATTGTTCAACTTTTACTTTTAGTGACTGAGAAACTGATCTAAGCACAAAAACTTAACACTGTTCATTGAACCATGAAAATATGGTCACGGTCAGGTGACCCATATTATGAAGTGCTTTCTTTAATATTCAAGCAGAATAACTTACCCTTTGTTGTGTTGAAGTGAATGTCAAGTCTTCCACTCCAGCTTTATTTAGCAGAAACTTTCCTAAAAATTCTAATGGGTTCACCTACAAATAAAAACTGAATGTTAATTCAGAAATTTTTGCAATGTTTTCATTGCTGTGAAAAGTGTTACAGGACTAGTATTGCAATAATTTTTTTTTTTTATGTAGATCATGATTGAGTTAATGTATGCAGCATTTCTTACAATTCAGGGATTCATTAATTTATATTGCATGGTTGTCTGTTAACTATCAATCGCAATAACAAATAGACACACAAATTCTTGAATTCATAGCATTAATCAATAAAAATAAACACAGCATTTATCATATGCTTTATTCTAGTCTAAGGGTTATTGAAACAATGGTAAACAGACGTAACAAAAGTTAAATACAAGAACACAAATTTAGAGTTGATGTTGATGCTGAGGTGACAATGCAAAGAAAATAAAAGTGAAAGTAGAAAGATGAAAGATGGTATACAATATAAATTACATATTGCAATATACATTTAGAGGTTGCCAGTATTTACATCTATTTTAACACAGAGAAACTAATACAATAACCTGTAAAGCTTACAGAATCATTTTCTCCTAACTCTAGAAGACCTTCTGATAATGTCTTGGTAATCTCTTTGTTACCATGGATTCTGGTCTGCCCCATTACATCAAATACTATCTGACCTGGAAAACAAACATTTTTATATGTATATTTAAATATACTGAAGGTACAGCATCAGTAAACTTTGAATTTACTTGGAAGACTTTTAAAAAATCAAAAAAGCATACGATTAGTAAATTTCAAGAGATTTTTATAGTCAGGTTCCATTTCCTTTTTTGGATAAGTAGATGCATTTTGTTGACCATTGTTGACAAACCCATCTTTGCACTTATTTTCAAAATAAAAGAAGAATGTGTTTAATAGAGGTCACAAATGCCCCTGCTCAAACTTTGCAATTTTCCAAGTTAAAAAGGGGCATAACTCTAGAATGGTATATTACTCACTGCCAAAATTCGAACTATGTCTGCATTTTGTGGTTTTAAGCATTTTATATGAGTTTCATAAAATTTGGGGTAGGCAAACTTAAGTTAGAGTGCGGAAATGAAAAAGTTTGCAATTTTTCACGTTATAAAGGGATACAACTCTAGAACAGTAAGTGACTTGCTGCCCAAATTCGAACTCTGTCAGTAAGTTTTGGTTCTTACCATTATGAATGAGTTTCTTAAAATTTGGATGAGGAAAACTTAAGCTGGATTGCAGAAATGAAAAAATTACAATTTTCCAAGTTATAAAGTGATTCACTGCCCAAATTCGATCTCTGCAAGTTTTGGTTCTTAGCATCGTGTATGAATTTCATAAAATTTGCATGAGGCAAACTAAATTAGAGTGTGGAAATGAAAATGGGATGGACTGACTGAAAGACGGTCAGATAGTGAAGGGTAATACTTAATGCCACCATTGCCTATGAAGGTGGCATCAATATTATCACAACTTTGTGGAACACTATCCTAGATAATCATCTTTTTGTTGCTTTTTTGCTTTTTTTTCTCATTAAAACAAAAATCTACACTTACCAGTAAGCTGTGACACTATGTCCTTGTGTGTCCTATCAAAGAATGGTGTCAGTAGTTCTTTACAGGTCCTCAGAGCTTCCTTGGCTTGTCCAGCAGTGTTCGCCCACACGTCAAGTTTACTTTGACAGAAATATGCTGTTGTTGGAGAACCATCTGCATATGGCAAAAGCCACTCTGTGTCAACTATAAGAAACAGAAATAGATGGATAAGTTTAAGTATAAAAGTTAAAATGTTATCTTTTTGTCCAAGCAATGTTGATCATTAAGTCAAACAAACTGCAATTAATCATCTGACGAAAAAAATTACTGATTTTTTTTTTAGAAATTGGTAAAATTTGGAAAATAACCTTTTTATTAAATTTGTAAGTTGTTAAAAGCATTTCACTAGCTTTCAGTAAATCTGAGTACTCTTAGATCAGTACTTTGTGTCTTTGAACTTTATATTAGTTTTTTTTTGTGCTTTGTGTCAATCTGTTCAGTCATATCCAACTGATTTTTACTGTTTGTTTTCAGGTTGTGCTATTTCAACTCTGTCTAAGGTTAGGGGAGGGTTAGGTGCTCACAAACATGTTTAACCTGCCACATTCTTTTATGCCTGTCCCAAGTCAGGATCCTGTAGTTCAGTGGTTGTAATTGGTTGCTGTGTCATATTTGTTTTAGTTTATTGTTTCTTCGTAAATCAAGACGATGGTATTTTTAGTTTGAATTGTTTCATATTTTATCATGTCAGAGCCTTTTATATTTTATAGTTTGATTTGCTTATTGTTGAAAGACATACAAAGTCCTGTAGTTGCCTAAACCCTAACCATTTGGACTCTGTTGGGTAACTGTCTCATTGGTAATCATACCACACCTTCTTATTATATATTACTATGACATGGATCCAAATTACATTGTGTATCCAGTAATTAGGGAACGATTGGTAGAAATAACATTAACCTATATGTTGGAATCAAAATCTAAATTTTATGTAGTATAAATTGTGAATTTTAACAGAAAATGCAAGCGTATACAATATTCAAGGTTTTTAAATCAAAATTATGGTGGCAACTAAAAACTATATTGAATCTGGATTCCTTTATACTACTTTATTATGTACTTACTATGATTATACTGTCCAATTATACCAGTAGGACTGGAGAAAAATACACCAGTCAATCTCGTCAGCTGAATCAGCAGATCTAAACCTGGTTCTAGAAAATAGAAAAGATACAGTATCATACAGGATTGTCTATTCTTTTAGTAACATTCTGTTCTAATTCAGCATTACCCATCTTTAGCTTTCATAATTTTCGGCCCATACAACTCTCAACATTTATTCAAAAAAATTGCTAAAAACAAAACAAATTTTCAGCATTTTTGCCCTTATAATTATCATTTCCATTACATAACCATTTACACATTCAAAGGACAGGAAAACACTATTGGCAGGTACCAAAACTAGTAACTAACTTAGTTGTTTGACTCAATTCTAAATGAAAGAATTACCGTTTTGTTATTAAATTCATTCATTCAAAAGCAAATTAAATGGCATTCTTGGGTGTACACTGGTGTTTTTAGTTGACTGTTCAACACACAACATAAATATTCATATAAGATTATAATCTCTTTTTCGTTCTACTGTGGAATCATTTATTTTTGTGGAAACCTATTTCACAGATTGAGGAACATTTGTATTTTCATGGATATTCAGTTTTGTGGTTATATCAAAATCTGCAGAATAAGCCCATAGAAAATTTGTACTTGGTTCAACATTTGAATTCATGGTTTACCTTTAACCACGAAATACACAAAAATTTGAATCTCACAAATAATATTGAGTCCACAGCATATATAATTTTTTTACTCCGTATAAATTACAATCATCTCATATTATAAACCATTTCTGATGATTTTTTTTCTTACCAGAAGCAGCCATTGGACTGAATATATGGAACTGTCCTCCATCACTTTCATCAACAATGTGACTGGCAACATCTTCAAAGAACTCTCTTACAATGGCAAGGTCAAAGGTCTCAGCACTGACAGTACAATTCTCCACTAATCTTATATCTCCTGGTTGTTCATAATGAGTAAATATTCCTATACTCCTACAATGAAAAGTATTTGATACAATTATAAATATCCAAAGCATAAACAGATTAAACAAGATTCTGTGTCCATGGGACACCACACTTTGTTCACACTATATCTATATGTTCAGTGAAGCATGCAATCTTAGTCAAAATCCTATATTTACATTTAACAGTTAACTTCATAATGAAGATGTCTACAAAGTTAAAAGTTGATGTGCCCACAAGCTACCCTTAATCTGATCGTTAACCAAAACTTTAATCTGAAATGAGGCGGACAGACGCACAGACCAGAAAACATAATGCCCTTATAGTTAGGGCATCAAAATAAGTATGACACCTATTTCAGTACACAGCAGTATTTTGTGTTGTTTTATAATTATTGTGGCTTTGTCAAAACATCTTTCAACTGTTAAACATAGGGTTTCCATATCTAAAACAATCATGAATTTAATAATTGTTAAACATGAAGCTCCAGTTTCGAAAACTAATAGAAATACCTTGAAATATATACTTTCCATTGTTTTTTCCTTAAAGGATATTTGTACGTTTTTATGAACAAATGTGTAAAAAAATATTGGCAACATCTTTAAACTGCTGAAAAAACAAAACATCTGAAACAGTTCCTAAATCTGCTTCATTTTCACTCTATTGGATAGTTGTCTCATTTGCAATCATAGTTACCATATCTCCTTATTTCATACTAAAGTTATCATGAACATCATAAAACTGCAATGAAAAAAAAACTCATTTTCAAAATTATTTAACAAAGTGATACAAATCATTAAACCATGAATTGTAATAATGTAAAGAGCTTGTTAATGCTTTACCAAAAAGCATTCAAGTATTTTACGAAACCTACTTTGCTCTTCTTCCATCTAATTCTTTCTGTAGTTTGAACATCAAAGTCTGTGCTGTAGTTCCCTCATACTCATATACTATAGGTATCACTCCAAACAGGACAGCATCCACTATTAACTGTAAACAATTATTGATAAATCTTTTTTAAATTTTGCTTCACAGCAACAGAAATATATTGTTGAAATGCACATTTCATAATAATGATTTTAATCAATTATATTGTTTGGTTTTTTTTTATATAGATTGTTTTTATAAATATTCATTTGAACAGTTGAGAAATTTTTGTGGACCTATTTCTCATTGATTTTAATCAACTAAGAATGTACTTAAATTGGTGGTATTTAAACAAATCTATATCATTAGACATTATGATATCATCTGCATTTACCTCTACCTATGTTCATTAAAAATGTATTCTATGAAATTAAAGAAAATAAAATAATAAACGTCAAAATTACAGAAATCAGAATAAATATCATAAAATATCTTAAATAAAGATTGCTGTCAATTTAGCGGTAATATCTTATAAATAGTAAATTTCCAGATTATTTTTGTGAAATATATAGGGATTAATAAACAACAAAAGTATATTCAAATTACAGTAATAAGAATGAATGAAATCTATAATAGTAAATTTATAGCTTATTTTTGTACTTTCAGCGAATGACTAAATATCTCAAATCAGGGGCTTGCATAAAGAGCTAAGATTTTTTCTTGAGTACTCCTACTACCAACAATAAAATTGGTAACTGTGATATTCACCATACTATTAGCAAGTGAAAATGGTGTTTAATTTAAACAAACAAGCAAATGGTTTTTTGAGATGGTTCTACAAAAAACCTGAAAGCATTTTGACAATAAGCATGCTTTAATTAATGTTCAATTAATATTTCAACAGATGATGAGAGTACACTTACATCGGCAGCAGGAACTCTGGATGATATAAAAACCACTCTAGGGGCATCAGTTACTGCTAAATCCCCAGCCACACCCATTGTATGTTGTGTGACCATAAGTCCTTTGTATAATGTCATGGCATTCATTGTATCCAAGACTCCACCTGTCCTGTCTTGTCTAAAAAAATTACACATTATTAGTGATGGAAATATTTTTTGCAACATCTACAGTATGCCGTGTTCATTAGACTTTTGTACAATTTTGATAATGTTTTAACATCCTTTATATTTGTACACTCCACTGTTCTTTCTCCTCTGAAATAGAGCATACTGTCGAGGGTTTTAACATTTCTTACCAGGTCCAAGTTCAGAACTTTTCTTTTATGATTTACCAAATAATGGATAAAAAAGAGTCCAGCCCTATTTTCGGTCAACTAAATTATATATGAAACCTGATCTACAGGCTTTAAGTTGCTTTGCTTTTAATTCAAATTTAATATATATGGTAACTAATTTTGTTTGGAAAAGGATATTTTCAAAATCGATTTGTAGAAAAGAGTCCAGCCCTTTTTTTTTTTTAAAGTGAACTAAAATTTATGAAACCAGATTCAAAGATTTTAAGTTGCAATACTTCATGTTAACTATTAAACTTGGTTTTGTAAGAGAAAACTTTTCAAAATTGATTTGCAGAAAAGGTTGTTTGTTCAGTGATAGTCAGTTCTGGTATTATTTGGTTTTTTGCACCCTCCCTGATGAATGTTTACTGTCTAATAAACTGAAATATTTGTGTTGTAGATACAAATTGTTTGTTTGTTTGTTCAGAGTCATTGGCGATATCATGACAGCCAGTTTTTATTGTTGGAGGAAAAGGAAATACCCTGAAAGAGCCATGAACCTTCAGCAGGAAAACTGGTAATCCTTTTCAATTAAGATATAAAGTATATCATCATTATCACATTGTTTCAAGGAAAATTAAATGGGTCCAACTTGCCAAGTATTGTTAAATTTTGTGCAGGTATATTTAAATGGTACTTACTTGGTATAAACTTTCTCTGGAGGTTTCCAGCCTGTAAAAACTAGTTCTTTCTTTCGTTTCTCTTGCATATTTTCCAAGTCCATAACTTCAGATAATCCTCGTCTCTGTGATGTATGTTTTAGATCAAGTTCATCACCAGCCTGTAATCACAATTATCATGAAAATCACAATAATAAATAAAAATAATATAAAATCATGATTTCAAAATAAACTAATTATAGCTCATTTTGACATCAAAAAGATTTTTACAACATTCATTGATAAAGTTTATTGTAGTTTACAAAAAAAAATATTGTGAAAGAACCAAAAAAATATGATCAAACATTGAGTTTATTAACTTTTTTTTAGATCCATCCTTTAAGGACATAAAAATCTAAATCACAATTTGTTTGTTTACAGTAAAATCAGCTTCCTTAATAGGACACATTTGTATTTATTTGCATTGAAAAATAGTAAACTTACTGTCAAAGCCCTGTGTCCATCTCTTCTGGTCACTGACTGCAGGCCTGGTTCAAAATTTAGAGACTGAGTCACAGCATCTTCATGTCGTTTCCTTGGGATCCCCCATTTGTTGTGTAGCACCAATGCAGATTTAGGCAGTTTTGGATCATTTGCATTTACTCCATTAAGAAAAGCATAGAATGACTTTTCAAGGTCATGTGGTTTCATTGAAGTTCCTTGCCATGGAGGTCTTACATCCATGTTTCGTCCTGAAATATATTTCCAACATTAAAAATATCCTATTTATATTTTACTTATTAAAGTTCTAAAATGTTATTGCATATACATAAAAACAAAATAAAAAAAACATCCGGAAAACATGCACAAAAAAATTACAAGCAATACAAGTAACACCTAAAAAGCCTTAATGTAGTTAAATTTTCAATTATAAAACAAAATAACCTCAAAACAACAGAAAAAGTAAAATCATGCAACTATGAAACCACATTTACCATTTTATTTTCTGCTGCAAAGAAATGCTAATTTCATTCTGACCTTTCATAAAATCGCATGTACTTTTATACAACTTGCAAGTGACAACTGCCAATCATTTTATTTATAGCAACAAATTCCTGCAGTTGTCTGGTCATGCATGCTTTTCATGGACTTTCAACAAAATAAAAGTACATCTGACTTGATAAAAGTGCAAATGAAATGTACATTTCCTGCATGATTTTCATGTGCTTATTGTATCACAATTAGTTCAAGTGACCTAGATATTGTTTCTAAAAATATACAATTGTAATTGTGAGTTGAAATAAAAGCAAATGAATTTTAATTGTAAATTACTATCTAAAGAAATTTATATTGCACTTTCATAAGGACAAATCATAACAGGAATTTTAAAAGAGTTCCAAATTCAATTATTTTACTTCAAATTATGAAATAAGGCTCAAGTTCAAGTTTAATAGTGATTTTATGTCTTTTGGTGATAAACAGAAATAGTGTTTTTATTCACAGATATTTTAAAATATGGTTGGTAGCTGTGCCAAAACCTGTTATCTTATTTCAAATAGATGTAGACATGTTTTTTACTGTAAATAATGTACTTATAAGTATGTTACATAATAGACAAATTTTCTATAATGTTTTAATGTTATAATCTCTTAAAATTCTGTACAGAATGGCTCTCTTTTTTATATCTGTATAATTTTAAACTAAATGTAATGTTGTATTATATATTATTGGGAGATGAGACTTAAATAAAATCTTAATTTCAATTAAATTCAATTATCTCCACAATGAAAGATTACTTTTACTCTTGTTCCATTATAAATGGATTTTTTTCTTTATTACAGTGAAACCCACAAAAACCAAACCATGCATAAAGCAGAAACCTGTGAAAACTCTTAAACTAGGAATACAATCAATTGTATATGGGTGTTGCATATTTCTTAGAATTTTTTGGATGGTTAAGGTTTAAAAAAGTGTGTTGCATGTTATTTTGAAACAGCCTTAATTAGTTACAGAAATAAATAGACAAGGAAAATTTGTCTTTGACTTTAAATAATACATACGACTAGAGTTTGGAGATAGCCTTCCTGATTTGCTTCTTTTGACCTTTGTGAACTGTTTGTCAAAGTTCATCTCTACAGTTCTTAATCCATATCTTGCATCAATGTCCTTTTAATCAAAATTAATATGTATACATTTTATTAAAATGCAAAAGCACTAAACATTAAACCTTCAGGACCAACCATTATCTTCTATGAGAGAAACTTTTAATTTTAAGATGAGTGAAAATTTCTGTTCATGCTTGCAAACAAACAAACAAAAATTTAACAGCAGTCTGACTTGAATAATTTTTCCAAATGAGTGATAATTTGTTTTTTTTCAAACATGCCAAAATAAATATCAATAGCACTTAAAATTGTTTTCCCCAAAAATGCATTTCAAGTTAATACAGTAATAGCATAATGTTGAGCTAATTTTTTCTTCTCCACTCAATTGATGTTAAAAAATATCACTACAGCATTGAATGAATTTTTATCATTTATATCACGTATCCCTCCCTTTCATTATGGTGGTTTGAAATGGTTCGCAAATTCCACAAAATCTGAGATATTGCATAGAAATCAGGTGATGCATTTGGATATTGGAGAATAAAAGGTAAATGGCATTTCTTCAATTGTTTCTGTTAAATTTATACATAAATTTTATAGACTGGGGACAGTTAAGAGACAGACATCCTATTGTTGAAGATTGCATGTAACCCTCCAGATGTCTCGTTTATTTTTGTTGTAGGGTTGCTGTCTCATTGAATATACCCCATATCTACTTATATTTACATGCAGGAGAATATTGTTTTGATAACCTAATCCTCATATTCATATTTATAAAAAAACAAAACAAATATAGGTTAGGAGGACCACAGGAAGATCTATTGACCTAATAGACCTTACTTATGGCACAAGATTTTCAATGTCCTCAATAAAATTAAAGTAACAAAATTGCCAATCAAAATTAGTGTTAATAAGTTGCAATATATTTATATAAAATTTGTAAGGGTTCCGCGGAACCCAGTGTCTCGCCTACTTTTGCTGTTAATCACAGGCTCAACAAAAATGAGGAAAAAAATAATAACAATATTACTTTCGATACAATCTTTTGATTGTAAGAAGCTTCTGTCCCAATTTGGTAAAAATCCAGGATAGTTTATGAATCTAATAAATGTTTTAAATCTTTAACTGCAGACTGTATGTAATGTTAACTGGAAGAAAAACTAAGTCCATTTATAAGTAAAATACTGATAAACAGGTACAAAATTTTTAAAAATTTCCTTCAAGATACTAGCTTTTGATCATAAACAAGCTTCTAACCAAGTTTGGTACAAATCCAGGATAGTTTATGAAAGTTATTAAAATTTTAAAAACTTTAACCACAGAGTGAATGTAATGTTAACTGGCAGAAAAACTAAGTCCATTTATAAGTTAAATACAAAAAAAATGGAATTTTGTTTTTTACATATTTACTTCTGGATACTATCTTATGATCATAAACAAGCTTCTGTCCAAGTTTGGTAGAAATCCAGGATAGTTTAAGAAAGTTATTAAAATTTTAAAAACTTTAACCACAGAGTGAATGTCATGTTAACTGGCAGAAAAACTAAGTCCATTTAGAAAATACAGAAAAACAGGATTTTTTTTTTTACAAAATTTAATTCTGGATACTATCTTATGATCATAAACAAGCTTCTGTCCAAGTTTGGTAGAAATCCAGGATAGTTTAAGAAAGTTATTAAAATTTTAAAAACTTTAACCACAGAGTGAATGTAATGTTAACTGGCAGAAAAACTAAGTCCATTTATAAGTAAAATACGGAAAAACAGGATTTTTTTTTTTACAAAATTTAATTCTGGATACTATCTTATGATCATAAACAAGCTTCTGTCCAAGTTTGGTAGAAATCCAGGATAGTTTAAGAAAGTTATTAAAATTTCAAAAACTTTAACCACAGAGTGAATATTTGTGGACGCCGCCGACGACGCCGACGGAATGTAGGATCGCTATGTCTCGCTTTTTCGACAAAAGTCGAAGGCTCAACAAAAATCAGAGTCAATTTTACAACAACAAAAAATCAATAGTTTACCTTGTCAGAGCCTGTAGAATAATCAAATGTCTTTACACATCCACCAAAATGTCTTTTCCATGCCCCAAATTCCCAATCTGGTGGCTTATACCTGAGAAACCAACCAAGCTTCATACATTTTGGCTGCCATATCACATCCTGTTGAATATAAATAATAAATTGAAGCCAGGAGAGTCTTCATTTTAAACAATAAATATGGACTCTTCACCCACCCAACCTATTAATTGTGATATTTTTCCACTAGAAATAGTTAAATTTTCAAACATTAACATGTAAATTGTATGGATCCTTCAAAATTATGCAACTTGTATTTCCCTTAATATGATTCTTTATTAAAGGACAGTTATGTGAAATATGATGCAGAATTAAATTGACATGAGAAATTTTAAATTTCAAGTTTGGCTTGTGAGAGTTGACAAAAACTTTTTACTTTCATTTATTTATACATTTGAAAAGTGTGCGACTTAGTCATATTGCCTGTGATTGAGGCAACTAAATTATTTTTTTCTTACATTTGTGTACTTCCCAAAAAATAAAAAAAGTAAAATGAAAATAAGAGTATTCATCAGTGTAGTGTTTCTTGAAATTTTTTATCAAACTAATCAATTCGGTGACATCCTAAAGAAAATTTTACATGATAATTAAATTTTGAAAACTAATATCTCATGAGCATGCAGGGATGAGAACTAACTTTTTACTTTAAATTCAAATTTTATCTGTTAAGTGAGCATTTCTGAAACTGCCAACACCAGGCCTTTCGGCTATAAAACTTTACTCAGCACTCAAGAGTACAAAATTTGTGCTCCAAACATCAATTTCAGTACCGGTATTTTGATTGATTTATTTCTAAGTACTATAATCTTACTCAAATTTTTTATGTCTGCAGGGCTAGGAATGCATTGAGTAATAAGTTTGTTAAACCAAAGCTGTAAAAATACATGATCAACTATTTAGCTAAAAAGAAAAGACTTAGAGCTATAACCAAGTTATGTCTACTGTTTGTATATCCATTTTCTGTACCTGTTCAGTAAGGAATTTCCAATGCCAACAAGCCTGTGCTGCTCTACACAAACTCTTAGGCTCTAGGTAAGAAAATATATACAAAGACAGGAATGCTGGAAGTACGGTAGTGAAGTCTAGATGTTGTAGGGGGACTTTCTCTTGGAACCAGTCTTGAATAAACCTGTACTGTGACCTTCTACATTGCTGAAACACCATGTCAAAAAATCTTTTTCTCTGGGTGTCTGTCCACAGGTCAAACTGAAAAAGAAATAAATATAACATGAATGTAAAAATGAAAACAAATAACATAATTCAAGTCAAGAGAGTACTCCATTTGCAAAAACTCTTATTTTGTTGCTGTGTAAATAAAGTTTTTTTTTTTTTTCATAATCATAATCTGAAAATAGATTTGCTGGCTGTTGTTTGCTTAATGTCCAGTGGCAATTATTTCATACATATGAAAGATAAATGATTCAAAATAACCAAGGTAGTTACACACATTAAGTGAGAAACTGTCTAAACACACAATAACTTTATTTTTAACATTTTATCCTGAAAAGAAAGAAGTTCAGGTGAATCTTGTCTTATGACATACTACAAAATTTCTACTGTTATTACTAAGAAAACTTAATGTTGATCGATAAACCATCAGCGTAAGGTAACTGATAAGATGCAACCAGACAGACATGTACACCTTTCAATTATTCTATAAATAGAATATTTGATGTTAATTACATTTTTTTGTAAGCATTCATTGACTGATTATACATAAAATTAAATATTTTCTATTTAAATATATCTCCTAGAGCTGTTTTCTGCTCTTTGGTCGGATTGTTGTCTCTTTGACGCATTCCCGGTTTCCATTCTCAATTTTAAATAGTTATTTTGTTGTACTTACCCAATGAGAAACAAGATCTCTCCTTTCATTGAATATCTGAAATTAAATTGAGATTTTGAATACTGCGATTCAAAAATGTTTGCCTGCATTTTTTATAGCAACTGTTGAACAATGGACAACAATGTCAAATTGATTATCATGATTATTGCGATTACAGAAAATTAAAAATGTGAGCTTCTATTTTTGTGAAACCTATCCAGACACAATTTTTCGCAATGATAAAAATTGCAAAAATTTCTGAATTTACAGTATTTGAATTTTTACTGCTAAGTGACATCAATGTAAGTTCCATATCAATCATATTCTAATTTAACAAAAAAAAACAGATATATGATTAACAGCTCTTGCCAGTTTTGAACTGATAACTTAAGGCAACATTTATACAGCAGTCTCGAGTGACAATTGATAAATTCATTCATGTACCTCTTGTAATACTTCTAATGCTCCAAGTTCATTACGCCATAGCATTTTTTATAGCTTGATAATCACATGTAGATGCATAAATATGTACTTATCCAGCGCCGGCATCAGTTATGTGTAAAATGTAGGGCAAGGTGACCCAATAAATGTATAGCCCTACACACTTTATCAATAAACACATACAATGTTATTTTGTAATTTTACCTGTTGATTTGATGGTTTGTGAACTACAGGAGTCCATGTACTATTGTATGTTCTCATTTTTAATGTATCATATTTCTCATTTTCCTTCACCAGCTCTCTTTTCCTGTTGGTATTTAGACCTATCACTTTATTATCATTCTGTGTTAGGGCTCTGGTAGAAGTTTTCATTTTCGATGTTCTTCTTTCTTCATCTTGTTGTCTGTCTAGTTCATCCATTTTGATCTGTGCTGTCCCTAAAAATAAAAAAAGATGATTTACCAAAAATAAGTAAATAAATAAAAGGCAAGAATCTACTTATAAATAAAAATGTGATTGACCTATTTTATGAAACTGGAATTATTCATTCTTTATATTCTGCTGCTCTACAATGGCAACATTAACGCCTGAATGCCTAGTCAATGAAAATCTTTAATCAATCATTCATAATCAGCCCAGGATATACCTATCTCCATAGCATTAAGCTACCAGCTAATCAAAATTCTGAATTTGTGACATTTAAATTGTACAGAGTTTAGGTCCACTTCAGTGGAAAAGTTCATCAGGAGGAGAGTCTGAATTATTCAGGCCAAATCAGATGTTGCATATTAATACAGAAATGTGCATGTTTAGGTCATGTAAATAGTTGTCAGTTTGCCTACAAATGTATACAAAAAGGTGAAAAACATAATAGCCAAGTTAGAGAAATGATAAGGCATCAGAAAATGGAAAATTTGTTTTCTGTTTATTTTGATTGGCACTGGTCAACATTTTTTTCAGATGACTATACTAATGGATGCTGCATTTGGATATTTAGTGCTGTACCTGAAAATTTAATTTGATAATACATAAAGGGGACACTAAAAATTACCCAAAATTTTGGACAGTACCACATGCCATACCAATGATCATGATGATAATGTTAATTAACATAATTATTAACAATTTTTATAATTCTGTGATGAAATGTTATTTTTTTCAATTTCAATTAAAATATGGTTTCATGGTTGTGTGCTTGAAACTGTTATCTTCCCTCTCATATTGATGAGCAGTGTTTTGTTTTCGTTCCCCTCAACAAAGTTCATTTACTGTTATACAATGGCTAGAGATAATTATGGTGTATTATCAATTATTTACATCATAATGAATTAACCTATTGTGGACAGAACTGTTCATCTAAGTAATTCAAAACCATATGGCCTTGAGTATCACCTTTCTATTTTATTACCATTAAATGTATATATTGATAATTATGTGGATCAATTTAATGGTAAATTTAAGGTTGCTGATAACTAAAAGTAAAATATACAAATACAGGCAAATTAAGGAAGTTTACAACTATTGTTTTTGACTTTTTGTTAGATATAATCCTCTAGTTTTATCCATGTGGACACCTGCCAGTTGGACATGTACACCTTACAATCATTCGGGATTCATTCCATACACCAAATATAGTAGACCTATTGCTTTTAGTATCTGATATATGGACTTGACCACGAAAAAACTTAACCTTGTTCACTGATCCGTGAAATGAGGTCGAGGTCAGATGAAAACTGTCTGACAGGTGCAAGGTACGCACATACTATATAGTTATCCTATTACTCATAATAAGAGAGAAATTAACACTACAAAAAATCTTAACTAGTCACTGAACCATGAAAATGAGGTCAAGGACAATGCTCATATGACAGACGAAAACTTCATGACATAAGGCATCTATATACCAAGTATGAGGCATCCAGGTCTTCTACCTTCTAAAATATAAAGCTTTTAAGTAGTTAGTTAATGCCGCCTCGGGATCACTATCCCTATGTCAAGCTTTCTGCGACAGAAGTCGGAGGCTTGACAATAACTAATTTCCTGTTCATGTGAGTTTGTGACCCCAATTTCATGGTTTACTACCTTAAACATATAATTTAAACCCATTAAAACTGAAAATAACTTGTATGCAAGGAAAAAAATCTTCCATCAGATCATTACTTGGAGATACCTGTAGATCTGAGAGTAGGTGTGAGAGTGCTAACAGTGATCTAGAAAGATTTTTTCTCTATGGGCCCAGGGCCCCCAAAAATAAAATCAATGGGCCATTTTTAGAATTAATGGGCCATGTTGTCAAATGAGTGGACCATTAATTTATAACAAAAAATAAACAAGAGGCTCTCAAGAGCCTGAATCACTCACCTGTATTTCAGAGGAGAAGATTTTTAAATGTTAGCAAACGATTAACAAATTGTGTAAAATTGTCTTTAAAGCAAGGCTTCTTAAACGGTCATATATGCCGGACATTTGTATAATGTCCGGTAAAAGTCCGGCTGGGAAAAGCATGAAACGGTCATCTACTTTTTAGTTTTCAAGGCTTTCTTAAGAGACGGTCATTTTAACATAATTCGCGATCTTTTGAAAACAACATTTTGCCTTTAACAGCCACACATTTCCGGTCATAAAAGTGACATGATCATTTAGTACTATCAAAACAACCCCTACTTTAATACCTTCTCATTTTAATCAAGGCTAATTAGTTGTCGAACAGCTGAAATTTACCTGTTCAGGTGACAGGTAAACTATTTTGAACCAGACATTGATCGGTCTATTCAAAGTTATTTTCTTACATTTCAGCGGTTTGCATCTAATTAATTTAGTCAAAAAGATTTAAATTATCAGAAATACGTTTACAAATATGATTTGATGAAAAAATTAAAAAGGTGAAAATGAAAAATCGTCATAACCACGTTGTTTGAACCAGAGACATGTCTCTGTTTGAACTAGTACACGTGTGCGCATGTGCGCAGATGTGACATTTAATTATGCATCCTAATTTCTTCAAAAAATGCTTAAATTGTCATTGATACCTTTATCTCACGTTTATTTCGGATATATTCTTGAAGAAATAACGTAGAAAGATTTCATACTTTGCAAATGTATACAGAATTTAAGTATCCGTCTCTGGTCCATTGTCAAGATAACATCCGGTATTACTTCAAAAAACGAAAGTAAAGTTTTTGACAACGTTATTTTGCACAAATAAAGAGTCTAAGGCAGATATAAGTATGCTGATGTTGCACACTTCGAATGATGCACTGCCAATTTAACAGTTTACGTCAGAACTTCGAATTTGAATCAAAGAAAGTTTAATATCGTTTTTTTTAATGTCAATCATTCGGATGGCCAACTCGGCAACTGATTACCATAATTGCCTTTTGTTTATTTTGTCTTAAGGGATTAAAATCGGGATAATATATAAAATGTCCGGCTGGCTAAAAATAATTTTGGAAGCCCTGCTTTAAAGAGCAATAACTCCTTAAGGGGTCAATTGACAATTTTGGTCATATTAACTTTTTTGTAGATCTTACTTTGCTGAACATTATTGCTGCTTACAGTTTATATATATATATCTATAATAATATTCAAAATGATAACAAAAAACTGCAAAATTTTGTTAAACTACCAATTTGGTGGCAGCAACCGAACAATGGGTTGTTCGATTGGTCTGATAATTTCAGGGCCGATTTATCTTGACCAATTAAACAGTTTTACCCCATGTCACATTTGCTCTAAAAGATTTAGTTTTTGAGATATAAGCCAAAAACTGCATTTGACCCTTATGTTCTATTTTTAGCCATGGCGCCAATGTTTGTCGATGGATACAAATTTTGGATAAAATTTATAAACAAGATACCCTAAGGAACATTTAGTTAAAGTTTGAAGGTAATTGGCCCAGTAGTTTCATAGATTTTTAAATGTTAGCAAACTTGAACAAATTGTGTAAAATTGTCTTTAAAGGGCAATAACTCCTTAAGGGGTCAATTAACAATTATGGTCATATTAACTTTTTTGTAGATCTTACTTTGATGAATATTATTGCTGCTTACAGTTTATATATATCTATAATAATATTCAAAATAATAACAAAAAACTGCAAAATTTTGTTAAAACTACCAATTCCGTGGCAGCAACCCAACAATGGAGTGTTCGATTCGACTGAAAATTTCAGAGCTGATAGATCTTGACCAATTGAACAATTTTACCCCATGTCAGATTTGCTCTAAAAGCTTTAGTTTTTGAGATATAAGCCAAAAACTGCATTTGACCCCTATGTTCTATTTTTAGCCATGGCTGCCATGTTTGTCGATGGATCAAAACTTCGGATACAATTTATAAACTAGATACCCTAAGGAACATTTAATTAAAGTTTGAAGGTATTTGGCCCAGTAGTTTCAGAGTAGATGATTTTTGAAATAGTTTACGACCAAAGACGCCAAGTGATGGCATAAGCTCACATGGGGCCCTTCAGGCCTCGGTGAGCTAAAAAGTGTATGTTTCAGCAAAGAAGTACTAATCTGTATGATTTTAATTGACATCATGGATATTGTTCCTGTGCTTTTGTAAAGTTAATTTAGTTCATGGTGATTTATGTTACCAAAGACATACAAAAGAATATATGTCTCTGATGTGACTAAGAATGACATCGTATGAGTTCATGAAATGTAACATCACTTAGAAATTAAACTTTTTATAACTTATAATAAAAAACTATAAAACTGAGCAACATATGACTAGACAAACACCACTTCAATGAACAGAATCATTAATAAGGAAATGCTGCAATCAAGAATAGACATCTGATCTGGACTGATTTTTAAAATCTGTACTAGTATTAATTATTGAAAAATCTATGATATTTGATTAAATTTCAATCTTTTGAGAAAACATGAAACTTGAACATACATGTATATTAATAATTATCAAACCATACAGCACAATCATAGAATTGACATAATAAAAGATAAAAATAATAAATTTAACTCTGTATTAATATTGCCATTATTGGGAAAAACAATAAACTGAGTTACTAGAACTATGACAATGGCAGACTAAAAGTAGCTGATCTAGATTTTGTGGCACAAAATTGAAGAAAGAAGAAATGAATCCTAAGAAGAAAACTAGAACAATTAAATTCCAAGATAGTTGAAATGATTTTTGGCAAGATTTGCAGTAAATTTTGCTGCCATCATATTGAAACCAGGGCCATAACTTCTCCCAAACCAGGCTTTACTTAAAAGAACCTTTATTTACAATGTTAATACTGGTACAGTGGTACCGTCGCCTTGTTCATGTTCCTTTGACATTAAATTTTGGTCTTCGTCAATTGCCATACTTTATTCCTGACGTTCCGTATTAGACGACATTACATTTCCTTTGCATTTCTTGTATCATTTTTATCTTATCAAGACAAGACTAACAAAAGAGAGTAACGTTTTTTGATAAGACATAACAACAATTCGCTGAAGGCATGTTTACAAAATTTACAATATTTACAAACGAACCAAAGACCAAAAAATTGACAAGGACAGTTAAGAGCCTTTTATGGCCTTTTATATTAAAAAAAACCTTTGGGTTTTTCAATCATAAATTATAGCAAGTTTACTTTAAAGATTATAATTTTAAAAAATTTCTCGCCTGTACTAGCCAACTTTCACAAAATTTAAGTTGTTTACTTTGAAAATTTAGATCATGGATGATGGTAAATTACGTTTTTGCAGTAATCAGATATACCACTCATTTCTATCCTTAACACAAAGAATAATGCCCGAGACGGCCCAAAAATAAAAAGGTGGTGCTCCTGTCATTTGAGGGAACACAACACAGTTTTGTACACAAATATGGCGACACGAAACACGATTGGAAATTCATTTTACTATATATCTAAACCTTTAGATACAAACCGAAAAATATCGTGCGCCACACTGGCGCTGACATTTGCCACTCTATGCGCCATTTCTGGTGAAATTGCGCAATTTACCCATGGCGCAATTCGCGCATGGCGCACAACCTTCCTGATCACTGTGCTAAAAATGCAATTTTCTATATAATTAATATTTGCAAAGGGCATCTCTCTTTTTGGAATAGTAATAATAATAATATGATAATAATAATAATTCTTTGTTTAAAGAGGGTTACACAGTTAGCTATAAAACTAATCTTCCCTGAGGCCCTCATGAAATACAAAGAAATATAACAAACAATTACAAAATATGAAACAAACATACATATATGAAAAAATGAAATAAAAAATTGTTATGAAATATACAATTTTCAGAACAGGTCAAAATTTCAAATTCATATAGTATTGGCATCATTCAAATTGAGATGTTGATAGTTGATAGTTGATCTGCATTGATTTTCAAACTCATCTCAGATATTGCTGATATAAACCTTTGATATAAATTTCCTAAAAATCACCCAAGAATTGTACATGAGATAGTGCTTACAAGACCAGACAGACAGAGGCATGGATGGACAGCTGGTATGTGTAAAAATATTTATATCTTCATACATAATATGACTTCTATAAATCAGAAACAAAAAAAAAAGACTTGTTTATGTCTGGGCTCTTACTGTTTATGTACATACATTTATAACTATAAATAACTTAATGGCCGTTCAGTGACCTGTAATTGCTTTTATCTTTCGTCATTTGAACTAGAGTGGATATCTAGTTGTCACATGGACAACACAACATCTCCTCATTTCTATATATATATTTATACATGTAGCAAATGAAAAGGTGAATGTCCAAACCTTTTGAACAAATGAGTGTACATGGTGTATGCTATAGAGCAAATACGATACCTAACATGCCTAAATTTGGCAATTTTAAAAATCAAGAGATGACTCTGATGCTTCACAAAAAAATGATGTACGAACTAGAGTTATGACCATTAAAGGGAATCTGAGGGATCATGGATTAATTGTTAACCCGCAATATATGTGCTGCGTCGGATAGAAATCGACCTTATGCAAATGAATATCAATACATCTGTTACCCTATTTCGAGTTGAAAATTTCTCTATGCAAAGTCTGTAACTGTTTGAAAATTGAGTTCTTATAATAACCCTACAAAACAGACAAATATTCATCTTTCATTTCGTATTTGAATGTTCCAAAATCGATCAAAGTCTAACACAAGTACATGTATATGTGAACTTGCATAAGGTCGATTTCTACCCGACGCAGCTCATATCTTATCAATAACTGTTATAAATTAGACGTGACAACCCATTCCGCCTCACTAAAGATACCACTAGGATAATTTTCGCCCTTGCTTGGTGAGATGGGTGAAATTCGGGTGCTGTCAAAACTGAGGAGTGCAGGATAACAAGATTTTACTTCATTAATTTAAACAGAGATCATTTTCCATGTGCAAAAGTGTATTGCATAAATCTAAAATGTAAACTTTACTGGTTTTTTGTTGTGTTTACAAATTCATCTGACAAGTTCCTGCCACCCCGCCATTGATCATACGCATGCGTGGCTTGGTGTTGCTAATGAAAGAAGGGAGCAGTAAGTTTATAAAAGAATTTGATGTCATTTTCCTCGTTGAAATGATGATCGATCATGATCATGCATATTTAACATTTTAAGCTCACCTTCCAAAATGTGAGCTTTTTTTTTCATCACTTCGCGCCCGTCCGTCTGTCGTCTTAGCTTATCAATTTTAGTTTACCTGAATGTTCTTAGGGTATCTAAGGGACTTATCATTTTTTATCTGCGAGGGGGGCTGGTCAAAATGCAGGGGGGATCAAGTTTTTTTCTGTATGTGGACAAGGGGGGTTCAAATTTTTTTATAAATTCAAAGTGGGGGGATCAATATTTTTTGCACTTGGAAATAAGTAGTTCACATATTTCAAGAGACAAAATGTCAAGAAGAACATTACAAGAGTCAAATCGAAATATATTTTTAACACCATTCATATACCGGTACAATTTAAAAGTAAGACATCACAAGACTTTGGTGATGTACGAAGCTGCCATTTTGTGTCATTTTGTCCTATATAAAATGCATAAGTGCTTCATAACCTGAATAATTCAGTTGTTATATTTCACTCACGTCGATCACTAAATTAACCAGCATTATTGCCAATGTATCCTTTTTTTTTTTATTACAAGAGCCCTTTGGGTCCATTTGTACCTCTCACTCCCTCAAAATTTGTACTTTTTAGGCTAATAAATCAAAAATTTGAGGTTACTATCACACATTTATGAATGAAAAGTGACAATAAATGAGTAACTGAAATATAAAAGTTTAGCGACTCAATGGAGGTTTCAATAAGGCCATGTACGTATGGCGCGGAATCAGGGTCATAAATATCGATTTTAGTACATCCTAAAATGATTTTAGTATATCCTAAAATGATTTTAGTATATCCTAAAATGATTATAGTATATACTAAATTACATTTTAGCATACCCTAAATTGATTTTAGCATATACTTAAATGATTTTAGTATATACTAAAATCATTTTTGGGTATCCTAAAGTCAATTCAGTATATACTAAAATCATTTTAGGATACCCTAAAATCAATTTAGCATATACTGAAATATTCAGCTTATACAGAAATATTGGCGCGGAATCAAGGTCATAAATATTGATTTTAGTATATACTAAAATGATTTTAGTGTATCCTATATCCAATTAAGGGTCTTCAGCTTAGCCAATGAGAGTTGTCGTTACATGAATGAAAATGCTGACAACATTCAGTGCGGCACTTATTATTAAAATAATTTTAAAAATGTATGTTCGCGAACTTTATATCTTTTTGTTTATTTTATGCTGTTTTTAAAGTAACTATAACTATTATACGTTAACGTTTCCTTTTAAAAGAAGCAAAACAAAAATATATTGTTTATTGTCAATGTTGATTGAATGTCTTTTTTTTTGGTAGATTCTAAATTTGAGTGTAAACAGGTTATTTCTTTTTTTTTTTATTGTGATTCAATTTTTTTTAAAACGGTAATGGTTTGGTTTTTTTTGCTACGTGATCTGTCACTTTGATAAAATTACGACGTCGCATTAACTTTCATTTAGATTTAGATGTACAAAGGTACATTGCCGGCTCATCTGCATGTTCGACGAAATAATTGTCCATTAGATTGACAAAAATTCTGTCCGCAGTGAAAGAGGGTCTTCAGAAATACTGTGAAACTGTTTACTCGCGTAGTGGTATTAACCATATGTGAATTCTAAAAAACTCTAAAGAACTTCTGGATAATTTTAAATTTCGATCTTTTTCTGAAATAATTTCTATCAAAACTTTTGATTTTCAACCCTGTATACCACCATTCCCCATGTCAAATTGAAAAATCGTCTAAAAAAAATAATCCACAATGCTTTTCAACATAAAAATGGTAGCATGCGCTATAAATTTATTACTTTGGGATACCATACGGCATATTTTGTTAATAGTGAACAAAAAAGTAAAACATGCTTTTATATAGATTAGACCGCTGGTTTTCCCGTTTGAATGGTTTTACACTAGTAATTTTTGGGGCCCTTTATAGCTTGTTGTTCGGTGTGAGCCAAGGCTCCGTGTTGAAGGCCGTACCTTGACCTATAATGGTTTACTTTTATAAACTGTTACTTGGATGGAGAGTTGTCTCAGTGGCACTCATACCACATCTTCCTATATCTATACACAGAGGAACAAGTGATCAGTATGCTGGATTTTCTTATTGACAACATATTTGTTGAATTTGATGGTAGAATTTTTCAACAAATTGTCGGCATTCCTATCGGAACGAACTGTGTGCATCTCCTAGCCGACCTCCTCTTCTTTTCATATGAGTTGGAGTTCCTTCAGACACTTGTCAAAAACAAGATCAAAGAAGCCAGATCATTTAATTTCACCTTCAGATATATTGATGATGTTCTTTCCATTAACTATCCAAACTTTTCTGATTGGGTTCCATTAATATATCCCCCAGAACTAGAAATTAAAGAAACAACAGACACGGCTTCCTTTCAATGCCAACTTTCTTTGGATTTGACCAGACCAGGGTTCGAACCCACGACCTCCTGCACTCGACGCGAGATCACTACCACGAGGCCAAATATGCGTTTTTCTTTGTTTTGTGTCAACTTGCTGGTAGATTTTGATTGTCTCCGAGATGAAAACAAACACAAAAAATACTACTTTTGTGTCATTGTGATTTTTTACGGACGCCTTCAAACAAATTATCAATATGTAAGTCATGTTCTTGACCTAATATTTTCAAGATTTTATGATTTATCAAGTCTAAATGAAGATGTCGTTGGTAGATGGTTGAAAATTTTCTCTTTTAAAACATTCATTTGTTGCATCAAAAAAATATTTTTTCTTAAAAAAATTAAAATCGGTAGACTTTATTGAGTTCTTAAATAATCTCAGTCACCAAACATGCAGCTTTACCATTGACGAAATCAAAAGCTTTAAAACTAATATGAAAAGATTTTTTCTAGATATATGTCACACTGAACTGGTAAAATATTCAGGGGTTAAACTAAGAACTTAAATCACATTTTAGAGGAGCTTAACAAAGCACAGAATTTCATCGCACAAGAAATGAGCCATAAATGTATGAGGATATTCTCCTTATTGATTGAACTTAATTGTTGTAACTCTAGAGGTGTGGATGATGATGTTCCTAATATCGTAACTACAATCCAGCCCCCTTTTTCCGAATGTGACCTACCAAATTAGACTTATTATCGGGTTGTAACTAACATGAGCAACACGACGGGTGCCACATGTGGAGCAGGATCTGCTTACCCTTCCGGAGCACCTGAGATCCTCTGCCTCATTTTTAGACTTATACCTCGAATTTGACATAAGCGGTCATCTCAGTACCAGAATCTATGACAAACGAGATGATTTTAATTGTAAAATTATCAATTTTCCCCACCTTAGTAGCAATATACCAACTTCACCTGCATATGGGATATACATTTCCCGAACTCATTCGGTATTCAAGAGCTTGCACCTGCTACTCAGACTTTGTAAAACGTCACCAGTGTCTGAGCAGAAAGTTGATGAACCAAGGGTATGTCAAAGAACGTCTCGTCCTTTTTCTAAAAAAAAATCATCGGAAGATACCAAGACCTTGTTGATAAATATTCAGTATCAACTTCACAAATAATACACGATGGTCTTGAAGTATAGATTCTGGTACTGAATTTATTTATCATCTTAATAACGTGTTATAGTATTCTTTTATTTGTCTTTGTAAATTATTACTTTTACTGTTTAGTATATTTTTGGTAATATCCATTTAACGTGGCTCGGTATTTATACATCCCGTCATTGTGTTATTGTGCTATGGTAAATTTTTGTATTTTTGTCTATCGTTTTTACTAATGTGCTTTGTCTATATAGATATAAGAAGATGTGGTATGAGTGCCAATGAAACAACTCTCCATCCAAGTCAAAATTTATAAAAGTAAACCATTATAGGTCACAGTACGGTCTTCAACACGGAGCCTTGGCTCACACCGAACAGTAAGCTATAAAGGCTTTTTGTTTTTCTTTGTTGATATATTTGTTTGTTTTCATAGTGATTAAGATTATAACACAATGTTGACTGCTGTACCCCTATTTTTGACATTTTTACCTATTATGTCTGTTTGTTTTGTTCAAACATCGTTGTCAATATAATGGAATTTTATGCGACTGTCATACAAGTGAGAGGTTTAGCTAGCTATAAAACCAGGTTCAACCCACCATTTTCTACATAAGAAAATGCCTGTACCAAGTAAGGAATATGACAGTTGTTTTCCATTCGTTTGATGTGTTTGAGCTTTTGATTTTGCCATTTGATCAGGGACTTTCCGTTTTGAATTTCCTCGGAGTTCGGTATTTTTGTTATTTTACTTTTTAGAACGAAAATAATCGTGCATTCATATTGATTCATACTGATTAATTCGTCGATTTTTTTCCCCCTTACTATGACGATATGATACATTAAGTATTAAAACAGTTTATATAGAGAAGATTATATGTCAATATAAGTATATAATTAAATGCATATGATATGGCTTTTTTTTAAATACCACACCCGTACCAACACGAGACACCTGCTCGGGGGATTAAGTTGGTTGAGGGTTGATTCGGGGCAAGACATCGAAAAAGCAATATCATATACACTTTATAGTTATCTACAACAGACGGACGTTCTTCATGTTAAGGCCAGTGTGATAAAACGCGTGAAAACCATGTCAGATATAGATATCATCACGGATGCTGGAATACAGAATCATGATTTAATTCTTGATTATATTACCCATATATTTCAAGTGACTACTTAATCTCAGAAGTCCATTACTTCAGTTAGTACATAATAATTATCATTACTAACATTCAACCAAATGAGCCTCTAGTAAGAACAGTTACATTTATGAGTTTTATCGATTTTCATATCTCGTTAATACATATGCGTAACGATAATAGTTAAAAATCATAAGTTAAATTTTGCATGGCATGACATCCAATTTCCTTCAAAG